AGAATGAAAATTGGAATACAAATAGGACTTAATACAATTTTTTTAAATAGCTTCAAATCTTTGAAAATAATCTTTAAACGTTTAAGATTTATCAGCATTTATGCATTAATGCAAAATATAATTGTTAGAATTAACAAAAACTTCCTAAATAGAGCGTCTGTGCTGCGGCACAGCATCCCGCTCGCTAAAAATGCCGTATATCCCAAATAGATGGGATATATATGACAACTAATTAAACAAACAATACAGGAGCAAAGCACTTGTATTTTGCTATACAACATGCTTTACTATTCCTCTACACATATGTATTGCAAAATAACCACTAAGTCTTTTACACGCTCTACAATAATCATTTTATGTAGATTATAAATTATGATGGCACTACTTATTACAGTAAAAAATCGATTTAACTCGCAATAATTTCATTAATATTAACAGTAAAAAACTGAAATCATAACATAATACTAATATACCATAAAGGTATGTAACAAAGTAATTGACGGAAAATTATCCCCACTCCTTCTATTTTTTCTGGCTTCTGCAGCGTATTTCCTGACGCGGCGTATATACCGGGTTTACCATATATGTGTAAATAATTTTCATAATTTTATTAATTGTTAATTTGATTTCTTACTCATATTCCTCAGCTTTGTCGATATGTACAGAACTACTCAAAATTATTTCAGTATCTTGTGGATCCACCAAAAAGATTATTGGTTTTGGGCCTAAATATGCAGCTATTACAGTCCCGTATGTTTTATAATATTCAAGACCAATTTTTAACAAATCTTCGGGAGATTGTTTGAGAGCTATCAATGAATGACCTAAGATAGGTACGGATGGTGGATCTAAAAAAGAAGTAAATATTGCTGTAGAACAATATAAGAACATCAGTTCTGATAAAAATTACTAATGCAATCAAAATAGAAATAAAAGTTAAACCCTTTTATTGTTAATATTATACATGTATATACATACTTGGTAATTTTTTTATAAGACGAATTGCTCGAGAGGTTTCGATGTAATAGTACGCTGCGATTAATAGTGTGATAATCGTCCCCAGTAAAGAATAAATTACGATCGATAAATAAGATGTTGTTACTGGATCGGCATCCATTGCGATTTAAAAAAGTATGATTTGTTTAGCGACGCAATCACTTATTCCTCACTTTTTTAATAACTCACTAATTATGGTGTTAACATTAAAAGATACAAGACTTGAGAAATCAGAGTTAATGTAACAATATTTTAATAGAAATATTTCATTTGCAATTAAGCTATTAAAGAAACGTTAACTACGATTTCACCTTTTCACGATGAATGCGTTTCTACTTTTGCTCACAGAAATGACCGATATTTTATAGTTAATAGTGCGCAGGAATATATTCATTTTCAATTATACAATGACCTCGTTGTTTGTTCATTTACATACAATATCACGTTGTTTGTTCATTTACATCACGCAAAATAATCGTAAACCGCCGGATGAGTTTTTAATTCGAATCATTAATGTTTATCAATGTAAAACTATTGCCTCAAACATGACATAGCGATAAGTGCAGTCTTTTTACCGGAAATCAGTTTGTCGATCGTAAAGCAAACGTTAGGAATACAAAAAAATTTTTTATTCTCTTAATACACGACGAAGTCTATATTATATGTATAATGGAATTATTGATACATTTTAATTATACCGGAAATTGGAATCCCAACACCATGAAGGAGTTGTGCTAGATGAATGAAAGTTACACAGAATGTTTGTTTACATGAGTTATTGATATCTATTATATACACACGCGCGCGCGCACACGCACACACAAAGTCACAATTCGTAAGATACGAGTGTAGCATTACGACGAATGCGGAATAAAATTTTCCATTAGACACGTGTGGAACTATTAGTGGTAATATACTGTGAAAGGCTGTGATAACGTGGATAAAATTATACAGAATGCCTCAAAGGCGACAAATTGTCGTTAATCGACAATTAACTCATTTTGAACGAAGCCGTATAAATCTTCGGGATGGTGGATTATCATTTTGTGATATCGCGACAAGAATGGATCAAGACGTCTCTACCGTGTACAGTTATTGGCAATGGTTCCGGGAAAGCATTGCTACCATCAGAAGACCGGAGTCCGGAGCCTTCCGATCAACTGAATTCATCTAGCATAACTTCTTCTTGATATTGGAATTTCTTCTTTTTAATTTTGAATTAACGTAAGTCATTCGCATTTTCTACTTACAACTTTAAATTATTAAAAAGATGATGGAGATGCAAAAAATCTGAAACTAAACCAATACAATTATGCGTTTAAATAAAAATAGAACAAGCTTTATATATACGCTTTAATTTGATTTTTTCATTTTCTCTTTAAGCAATTTTTCAACACTTTGATAATCTTCATAAATAATTATTATAAATTGTTATTATGGCATAAATTGTTACTGTTAAATTAAAACTGCAATATGCATAATTAGTATAATGTATTTTAAATGTTATAAAAAGACATATCAAGTACAATACTTATTTTAAGCTTAATTAAGGCACTGATATTTACAAAAGTGTCAATATAGCAATAGTAGCGATAAAAATATCTATTATTTCCATATAATTTATATTAAGTCTTAATTCTAAAATGACACTTTAGACTTTTTCATAATACTTTGATTTAACTCGAAACGAAAGAACGGTCGAGCATTGTAACGCGCGCATTTGTAAGTAATATAAAATTTACAACAAAAATATATAATATTCATTATTATCGGTATCGCTCTTAAAAAAACGTGTACAATAATCACGTATTATACATATAATATGTATATATTACGGACAAAGTTTGTAAGTGGACAGTGTTCAGCATTGCCCAACCTAATTTACCCAATCGCATCGTAACATTGTTCGGGCATTGTACAGCAGGCAACGGTAATGTCGACTGCTCACTATACGGACTTTGTTCATAACATATACATATATTACGAAGTGTATAAATCTTATAATAAATATAATCGCATATATTAATTTGTAACAATTTCGTCGTTTCTGCCAAGCAAATCATACTTTTTGTAAATAATATTGAATAATACTGTATTTGGGGAAGAGAGGAGGGAGAATGATATCGTCTGATAACTAATGAATTACGACAAGGGAATTAAAGATCTGATCGCATTGCTTTATTTCGCATAGTTAAGGCACGTAAACGTATACATCTTTTAGCACGCTGTTAAATATTTTCTTAAATAATTCATTAAAAAATTTGATTGCTGCAACATGTTATACAATATACTGACTACTTTCATTCTTGAATCGTAATATCGCAAAACAGATAGCACGACTTAGTGCTTAGAAAAATGTCATAATAACTCTTATATAATAGTATTTTAAATATTCCGTAAAAATTTCGAATATAAAAAAGATATAAATATTAATATAACTTACTGCCTACGATTAGTTAAGGCACTTTTATGTACAAATTTTTTGATTGTGTTTCGCAGCATTAAAGTCGATTCACAGATCTTTTCTATGCAGAGTGTATCAAACGTATAACAAAGTCAAAAACGAGGAAATGATTATATATATAGAGTATATATGTATATAATATATATACACATATACATATATAGTATATGCAGAGTAAGTAATGTATATAAATTTCTTCTATTATCGGTTGTATATTTTTATATAATTATATTTTTATTTTATATACTTATACATATACTATACGTATACATATACGTATAGTATATACAGTAATATATAATATTACTAAATATTATTTATATAAGGTACCTGAGCCTAATTTATTAATTTTTTTAAATTTTATTTATAGAGATATTGAAATAAACTTTGTAAGAATAAAATTTTTATTTTAATAACTCACAAAAAATATATGCATCTTTTAAGAAAGATTTTTAAATAAGCAAAAACACTTTTTTTTTTTAAGTCTGACTTTGGGCCTTATTATATGAAAAATAAATGTTATTTTCAAAAAAAACTTTTTTAAAATAACAAATAATCTTTGGTAATTGTCTTAAAAAAAGATGATATAAACAATAAATTAATGTTAATTGTGTCTACATTAAGGTGTTTTCACGTTCAGACACCGTAAGCATTAGTTTATCCTTGTTTATTAAATATCAAACAAGGAAACATGATGCTTACAAGCATTGTAAGCATAAAACGGAACGCACTCAATGTAAGAGCAAATTGTACTCAAAACCGATCAAAGCTGATATAACTTATTGTTAGTATGTCAGGTTATTACTAAGCTTTACATGGATTATGCAACAATATATTCTTTTATTAGTAGATTTTGTTATATATTTGTTAATTATCATTTAGTATAATAGATTTTATATCAAATTTAGTATTTTTTGACAAAATTTATATCAAACAAGCTCTTGTTTCGAAGAAGCTTAGTTGAACGGGAACCATGAAAAGACCGTGTTCCAATATGCATTACCAATTTTTGTAAATCTATAGTCATGTTATGTATACTGTAGATTTTCAGTAGTGTATATCGGAACACGCCTATAGTATAAGATGGCCATCTAACAAGGCCCAGAAGCCATTTTAATGGGCCTTATTTGATGAGTATGTCGTTCCTAAATAATATATTTATTCTAAAAAGTTAGTAGGTATACGTATATATTTGTTATTTTCATTGATTATGAAGTTGAATATATATATATATATATATAATATTATAATATGTTATAATAAATTACAAAATATATATAACGTACATATAATAAACTTTTTAAAATATTTACAATTTATTACAGTGGATTTTTATAAAAATGGCACCAATGTTCACCTTGTCACAAAGTTTACATTTTATTAAAGAAACGAATTGTTGCCGGTTCTAGTTTTCTAGGCTGTTTCTTATCGGCCCTATGACACATCTTTTAAGCACATAATTTAGGCATAAAGCACATTTATAATATAAGCGGTAATTTTAAAAGTGGACCTTATTTTGTACTGGGCCTTATTTGGTTCAGGTATCTTACTTATCTATTTTTAAATATTTTCAGCTCATATAAAATCAAAATTATAAAAGTTAAATATACCTCCCAGGTCAAACAAATAATGAGCTATATTTGTTGTTACTATTAAACAAATTTATTACAATCGATAAAATTAACGCAGAACGTTTCGACTTTACAAAGTCATCCTCAGCCGCAACAAAAAACCCCAATCAAATTAAAACGTTTACATATCACAGACGCAAAAACAAATAAAAATTATAAAACATTGTAAATTCTCTAATAAATATAAAATACATCCTCACAGTCGCAACCTTTTATGAAACAATACAATCGCGCTCCAATATTCGATGGCAGTAGTCAATTTACTTGAACGATGAAAAAACCTGTTATAATCCATTCTTCGTTTATATGCGAGAAAGATTAATCCAAATGAAATTTCCAGTCCGTTAGTCAAAATTAAAATACACAGAGCCAATATATGGATATCAAGTCGTCAAAATTGTATATGTAGGATGAAAATTATAAAAGAAGATAATTATTCAATAAAATTGCAAGTCAAATTATATACGTCTTACTGTATGAAAAGCAATGTACAAATGAGAATCATGATCAGTAAGACGTATATAATTTGACTTGCAATTTTATTGAATAATTATCTTCTTTTATAATTTTCATCCTACATATACAATTTTGACGACTTGATATCCATATATTGGCTCTGTGTATTTTAATTTTGACTAACGGACTGGAAATTTCATTTGGATTAATCTTTCTCGCATATAAACGAAGAATGGATTATAACAGGTTTTTTCATCGTTCAAGTAAATTGACTACTGCCATCGAATATTGGAGCGATTGTATTGTTTCATAAAAGGTTGCGACTGTGAGGATGTATTTTATATTTATTAGAGAATTTACAATGTTTTATAATTTTTATTTGTTTTTGCGTCTGTGATATGTAAACGTTTTAATTTGATTGGGGTTTTTTGTTGCGGCTGAGGATGACTTTGTAAAGTCGAAACGTTCTGCGTTAATTTTATCGATTGTAATAAATTTGTTTAATAGTAACAACAAATATAGCTCATTATTTGTTTGACCTGGGAGGTATATTTAACTTTTATAATTTATCTATTTTTGTATATGTAATATTTTATGTAATAAGAACCTAATTAGAATTTTCATTGAATAATTAAACATAAACATTACAGCCAATATAAATGTAAAACTTATATGCAGTACATGTAATTACATAATATATAATTATATAATTATGTAATTCTCTAAATCATCTTCTC